GCAGGATGCTACAAAGAGGGCATATGGGGAGAAGAGTGCTAGATCCAGAGCATAATCTATATGGCTGCTGCTGCTAAGTCTCTTCAGCTGTGTCCGACTCTGTGCAACCCTGTAGACGGCAGCCCAACAGGCTCCTCTGTTCACGGGATTCCCCAGGTAAGAAGACTGGAGTGGGTTGCCATTTCCTTCTCCAAATCTACATGGAGTCAGAGAGTAATAAGCTTTGTGAAGGACAAGTCCAGTGACAGGTGTTTGTTAGTAGTAACAGCTAAATTGCTTACCTCTTGCAGGTCTGTTAGGCTGGTATGTGCCAAAGGCTGTTCACTCCTGTTTTTGTTGTAACTGTGGCTGCGCTTGTCCCATCCCTGGCCCTCTCCTCTTCCTCTGAGGACACCAGTCCTTGGATGTGGGACCCATCCTGTGACCTCATTTGACCTTGGTCACACCTGCAAAGACTTATTTACAAGTGAGTCCCCCATCCACAGGCCAGGTTGAGGCACTGAACGTGTCTTTTCTGGAGACACATGATCCCTGAGGATGGGGGAAATGGTTGCTGGCCTTCCCCCAGGAGCTGGGGCCTGCTGCAGGGGCCCCTGGGACATGTGGATTTTCCCTTCCCTTCCCTGATGTGGGGAATGGACACATTACTCCAGCACAAGCGTGAAACAGCGCTGTCCAAAGGCCTTCCCCTCCCCTGGATGACGACTGACCCCATCCCTGACCCCCAACCTGCTTCCTCCCGCCTTCCCTTGGCCACTCAGCGGGGGCCCTCAGCGCCAGCCAGCACCAGGCCTGGCAGCAACAGGGGGTGCCTGCTCTGATGACCCTTCCCCACTGTCAGTCATAAGCCTCGGGGAAGCTCACCCTTCAGGAACCCAAGGCCACACAGAGAGGGAAGCTGGTGAGAACCCGTGGCTTTGAGTTCAGAGCTCGAATCTGCGTCCATCAGCTCTCCCAGAGTGAAGAACTGGGGTCCTGAGATCCCATACCTGAAAAACCCACTAACTGGGCTGGTGTTATGACACCACAGGCCTGCACCGCCCGGGACTGACAGCTGGTGGCTTAGACCCCGGTCACAAGAGGCAGGAGCCACCGTGTCCCTGCTCTGTGGCTGATGGCCAGGGTGGGATGGGAGGCGGGCTCCTCGCTGGGACCACCTGAACCTTTGACTGGCCGGCTGCCCCTCCAGTTGGAGCCCGGGGCCTCCAGGAGTCTCCACGGAGCCTCAGGCTTGAGGGCCCTGGAAGTTAAATCCCCAGAGGGCAGCAGCCTAGGGAGCCACACCCTCAGCCGGTAACCAGGACCGGGTCCTCTCACCCTGGGCTCGGCGGCTGTTGCAGGTCTGGGTCGGGGAGAGTCTGTGCTGGGCAGGGGTCCCGGGTGCCCTCACTCGGGGGCACACACAGAAGCAGGGGAAGAGGGGCTCTTGCCCACGGCCCTGTGCCTAGCATCTGACAGCCCTGCTGCCCACACCAGTCACAGCACTTAGTCTCCTGCTCAGCTTCATCTCCGCAGCAGAGGAAAGAGCAGGCTGGAGCTTCAGGGTTCTGCTCCCTTGGCCCACCGCTGACTCTGAGGACACGGGGATGGGGGCCTGGGCCCGGAGTCCTCCCTGGCACAGGGCGAGGCCGACAGCCACAACTAGGGATGCTCAGAACAAGGAAAGGACACCCTGCTCCCTCAGGAAATGGATATTTATTTACCAACAGGTGTTTTGTCTCAGGCCCAGTACACCCTCCCCCCATGCAGTCCTTACAAGAACGTGCAGAGCCAACTACCCCCAAAACGTGGTGGCTTAGCATACCAGCAAACACGGACGAACTCATTCCATTTCTAGAGGTCAGGAATACAGGAAAGGATTGTGATGGTCCCAGTGAGGTCTCTCCTGAAAGTCCAGGAAAGTGTCATGGGCTCTGGCGAGCCCCTATCCAGACAGCAAGGGACCAGGATGGTCGTGTGTGTGTCCATAACTGAGCCTCGGAGGCATACAGCACTGAGGCCACCTGGATTCACGGGGAAGCACTATACACCCCACTTCTCCAGGGGAGGGTCAGTCAAGGATTTCAGGGTCACCCTGGTTCGATCCCTGGTTTGAGAAGATACCCTGGAGGAAGAAATGGCAACCCACTCCAGTATTTTTGCCTGGAGAATCCCACGGACAGAGTAGCTCAGCAGGGTACAGTCCATGGGGTCGCAGGGTTGGACATGACTGAGAGACTAACATGCTCGCTTTTCATGCCCCCAAGTGACACAGGGGGGTCACGTGCAGGCTGAGGAGAGTGGGACCAGGTATCCAACCTGACTCTGGACCAGTGCTTAAGTCATTGACCACCACAGGTTTACATGAATCCCAAGCCCACCCTGCAAGAAGGAGCTGCTCCAAGAAGTGTGTTGGAGTAACCTCTGAAGACGGTCAGGCCCAGGTGCCTCCCACAGCAGCCTCAGTCCATGGCACAACTTCAGGTCAACTTGCTCTGAACCCCACAGACCCCACGTTCAACTGTTGTGAGCAAGAGTGAGGCTGCAACCCAGGACGGGTGGTGCCAAAGAGCTAGGGGCTGGCATCTCGTCTGCAGGTCTCCATGCCAGCTGCCAGGATTTCTGACTGCCCTGTCTGGGTCTTCCCTCCCTAGGAGCCCATCTGGATACCAGAACTCTTGATGGAGGGTCTTGCACTGAAAGGTGAAAATCCAGAAATTGCACGGGGTTGGTGGGTCTTGCGTCTGCCACTGCCAGCTGTGTGACTCTGGCCAAGTCACTCAACTGTTCTGAGCCTTGCTTTCCTTGTCTGTGAACTGGGAATATTTGCCATCCTCGTGGGCCAGACTCTGTGGGTGGCAAGAGACAGAAGCCCCGTCTCTGACCCCAGTTGGCCTGAGCGGAAAGGGAGGAGCTAGGTCTCCGTGCCCCAGCACCACTGCTCTGTCCACCTCCTCTGTGCCAGCTTCCTTCCCAGGCAGGCCCTGCCCATGTGGCAGCAGTGGTCGCCAGCTGCTCCTGGTGCCCCTTCACCAGCTTAGTAGCAGAAAAGTCGCAGAACCCAGTCCCTTTGGCCAGCCAGGTGGAGTGCCCACCCGAAGCCAGTCACCATGTCCAGAGAACAGCACGCTCATTGAGTGACCAGGCCTGCATCGTGTCCACCCTGGGACTCAGACAGTGGTCCAGGCCCATTAAATACATGGACTTGGAGATGGACCCCCCAGAGAGCAGGGCTGCTGTGACCAAGGAGGTGAGAGCGGTTGGTGCCTATCTGAACCACCCTGAGCCATAATCAATTTATTATTTTATTGCCTCTGGGCAGTTGGCTACCTTCTTGGGCTGGGCACTGGCTGAAACATTCCTCGAGTCCTTACAGCTGAGTCGGCCGATGCCTTCCTGCCCCCACCCCGTCAGCGGCTCCCCCTCATCTGCAGGTGCCCAGGCAAGCCACCCACAGGCCAGGTCCCATGGCTGCCTCCCGTGGTCCTCCTGCCCACACCTGCTCTGGCCCTAGGAGGGCATGCCCTGAAAGCGGCCCTGCCCCCGATTCCATTCCTCTCCAGGGTGGAGGGGAGAGGCTGGGGCCTTGAACCTTGGCCCTTCCCGGCCCCACGTGCTCTGGAAGAGGCTAAGAGGCTACAGCCCATCGAGGCTGCAGCTCCCTGGGCCATCACTCCTGCCACTGCTGTGCATGGACTCCCCCATCCCCCAATTCTTCTTGGCTTCTGCCTCCCCAGGGATCTCAGCTGACCAGCTCCTGCTGGCTTTGCCCCTGAGCAGTGCCCAGGAACTGTCCGAGGCTTTCTGCTCCTGAAAGTGCAGCCCAGTCACACGAGACTCAGTGGCTGGGTTCTGCTGACACTGACCCTCCCTCCTCAGGGCCACAGTGTCCCCCAGCCTTCAATCCTGCTGCCTCCCAGATGTGAATGGCGGGGGGGGCTGCATCTCTGGTGTCCTCTCACCCCCGAAGAGACCAAAATCAGCCCTTCCAGAATTCAGCGGTAGCCAGGTTACCATGGCAATGCCCATTATCCCTGCTGAACAAGAGATGAATCAGGAGCTAAAAATAGGCCCCCAGAGTGGATGGATGGACGAATGGATAGAGGCAGGGGTGGGTGGGCCTGCATTCAGGGTCAGAACAGTCTGTTTTTCCCAGACAAGATAATTTAGGGGGAAATCTCAACTGGAAACCCATGCCCACAGAGCTGGGAGGTGCTGCAAGTGGTGTCCCCTCCCCTGACAGGAGCACACAACATGCAGCGCCCAGTAGGTCCTCATAAAGCTCAGGGCTTGGAGCCCTCTCCACCTGAGCCCGGCTGGTATAGACTTCAGGCAGGGAACAGGGGAGGCTCTTGGCTTGGGATGGCCATAGCACTGACTGGCCCTTTCCAGAGTGGAGCACTGCCCCCTGCACCCTTTAATTCCCAGGAGGGCCCTTGGTTCAGTCCAGGAAGGACCTGGGGAACCTGCCGAGGAGCTCCCTACTCTAATGTGACGCTTCAGGGCACAGAAACACAACGCCCCACCCCTCCAGTGGGGTACAGTCCTCTGCTGGGGGGGAGCAATGAAGGGACAAAGCCGCTGCAAGGACAAGACACTTTATTCTGCCTAAGTCCCCTCCCCCACCCCCGCAGACCCCACAGACAGAGAGACAAGGGCAGATGCAGCTGGGACCAGGAGGAATTTGGCTGCAGGGACAGGTGTCTGGGGGACCAGGGTTTTCTCAGAGACAGGGCACTGCCTGCTCACTCTCCCCAGTGAAGATCAGAAGCAAAGGAGCTGTCCCCCAGCCCCCTCCCCACCCACCAGGCTGGGGTAGGGTTAGGTGTGCCCCTGGGACCTCTTCACCCTTCAGCCTGGGGGCTGGCCCACCAGGCAGCAGGGTCACAGGAGCTGAGGGTGGGCCTGGGCTGCAAGATGGGAGGCCCCTGGGGAGTCGGGTGGAGGATGCTGGAGGCAGACGGTGGACACAATCCTGGCCACCCCATGGGTCCTCAGAGAGCAGAGCCCAAGCTGGCTTCTCAGGCGTGGGCACCGAGGTCTCTCGGAGGCAGCTCCTTGTGGCTGTAGTATTCCACCAGCTGCCTGGGCACCTCGGCCAGCACACTCTTGGCCAATGCCGCGGGGGACGCCTGGGTGTGGGGACAACGTGCCTCCAGCCAGCTTCCCGTCCCCTAGTCCCCCTTTCCCACCTACGCACACCCAGCCCCCTTCCTTAGAGCCCCCGGCTCCAGGCACCACAACCAGGAATTTACCAAGTGGGCAGGTAGGTGAGCCTGTGTTAAGGTTGAGACTGCGGTGGCTGGATAGTCCGCCCCTGCTGACACTGCGGGGGCACAGATGGCCCTCTGGGTGAGTGTGGGCATGGGGCAGAGTGGCTGAGGCCCCTCAGATGCCCAGGTCCTCCCATGAAGCTGCGAGTGTGTGTCCATGTGACGCACAGTTCCTACTGCATCACAGAGGCTTGAAAGCCAGAGAGGAGGTTGCCTGAGGGGCACCCTGCCCTCTGGGGTGTCCGTGTGACACTTCTCATAGCGCAAAGGTTTCTAGGGGCTGAAACTGCTCAGGATGGGGCAGGGGCTCAGTGCCTGTCGCCCCCACAATGCTGCCGAGGGACCCGGGCACTCACGCTCTTGAGCTCCCGAAAGGGCACGAACTGCACGATGTCGCGGAGGGCGGGTTCACCACGTGGGGAGCGCAGGACACCATCGTCACCGTCTAGCACCTGCATGTCGGTGAAGTCGGCGTTGCCCACCCCAACAATGATGATGGACATGGGCAGGTGGGAGGCGCGCACGATGGCCTCACGTGTGTCCGCCATGTCGGTCACCACGCCGTCCGTCAGGATCAGCAGAATGTAGTATTGCTGGGGCACAGGGGAGGAGGGGCCGCAGGGACCCTGCAGGGCCGCTGCATTTCCCCCAGTTGAACCCCAAGTCCACCAACCAGACCGCCTGGGGGTGACCACGGTTGCCAAGCTTTTCTAAAAATGTATTCGCAGAAGCGTACCACATGCACACAGGTGTACACACACACACATGGAATCACAGTGAGCTGTGACCACGTGCTCCCTCTAACCTGGAGGTGGATATGGCCACACCTTACAGGTGGGGACATTGAGGCTAGGGGAGCTGGGGTTGACCCAGGTCTGAGGCCAGAGGAGAAGGGATCATCAGCCCTGGGTGGGGAGGGGCTCCCACACCCCAAAGAGACACTGAAATTTCAAACAACACACTCTGGCCCAGCCTGGCCTGGTGCCCAGTGTGTCTGCACATGACAGACTGGGGCTTGTTTCAAATAAAGGTCCGTTTTCAGTGTGAAAAAAACAAAACCACTCAGCAATCATTACTAAAAACCTGGTCGAGAGAAAACACAGAAGAGCTGCAAAAATCACCCTGGAGGTCCAGCGCTGGAAGGCCGGCCAGACTATCCACTAGCCCGCCCAGCTCTAGCCAAGTGGGCACCCTCTCCCAGGGACCCCCTCTGAGCCCCCAGACCAGGGGGATGGCTAGTCTCCGGTCCAGGGCTGGTGGATTCCCACAGTGCCTGGCCCAGCCCTGAGCCCCACACACCCTCCTCCCACCCCCAGAGGGGGGCAGCACCCACTGAGACCTCACAGCCCTGCATCTGCCAGCAGTGCAAACAGCACACCATCACCGCCTGCAATGGAAGCATCACTTGAACCCGGGGACCACTGCAGTCGGGGCCCCAGGAGGCATCAGCCAGAAGGGACAGGGCTTCTCCACGGGACAGGAAGTCGGGTGAGGGCAAAGTTCAAGAGGAGGCTCAGGGAAGGGGGTTCCAGATGCCACCCAGCCTCCACCCACATCCACCTCATGCAGCTAAGATGAAGGGTCTGAGCCCCAGCAAGGACAGAGGCAGAACTGAGGCCCCCAGAGTTTAACCCCTCTCAGAGGAATCAGATGGGACATGAAGGCCACCACAAGGGCGTGGTCAGTAGACTCCAGCAGGGGACCCTACTGTATGCACATGCCTAACCAGGGGGTGGCAAGAGGACCCTGTAGGAGAAGGGAGGGGTCCCCAGCAGGATAGCCACACCCACTGTCAGGTCCAGTCCCTTATTTTAACCCTGTGCCTCCTGGAAAATCCACCATGGTGTGGAAGAGACGGCTGGACACTTAATACTCGGGAACTGACGCTGTCTTTAGGTGTGATAATGGGACCCTACTGTACCTCTTTCAGAGGTTTATACTGACATTTACAGATGAAATTTTGTGTCTAAAACTTGCTTCAAAACAATACAAGAACATGAAAGCTGAATGTAATCCTTAACTCCAGGCTGGATTCTACACCAGAAATAATATTGTGATAAAATTATTATTTTTTTGGCAATTAATGCAATTGGAGCATATTTTATAGACTAAAGTATTGGATCTAAATTAAGCCACCTGAAATTGATACTTGTGCAGTGACTGTAGAAGAGAACGCCTGGATCTGAGGAAAGAAGGGGTGGAAGGTGACACTGTGACCCTGCCTTTGGGGGCTGTGTGTCTGGGAGAACCACCCCCACTTAGGGCGTGGGACCAGGGACCACCAGGGACTGGGCGATGGCAAGTCCCAAGGATGGAGCAAGGCTGAGAGCAACAGCCCAGTCCCACCACAGGGAACTTCCCTGGTGGTGTAGTGGACTTTCACTGCAGGTTCAATCCCTGGTCAGGGAACTAAGATCCCACATACTGAGGGACACAGCCAAAAAAAGGGGAAAAAACAGATCAGGAGACCAGAACACGGGAAGGACAGGTCCTGGGACAGTGAGGAACAAGGACACATGGGACGGATGGAGGCTGGGGTGAGACAAGAGGAGGGGGTCGCCTTTGATGTGAGACTGCAAAGCGGTACTGCACAGGATCTTGTGAGCAGATCAACACCAAGAACTCGGTGGGGGGGGGGCGGAGTTCAGGAGGCCAGCAGCCTGCTTTCAAGCAATTCAGAGAGAAGACAGGACCAGTGTGTAGATGGGGGCAGGGGAGGGAGAGAAGTAGGAGGAGGCAACAGGGCAAGAAGTTGCTGACCAGTGAGTCCAGGGAAAGGATGGGCCAAAGGTGTTGCGTTATTCTTCCATGAAGTTGACTTTTTTTTTTTTCCAGAGTAAAAGGTTAAAAGAAGGCAACAGAGTCGTCGTGCCTCAGGCAGGTCTACAGAACCCTAATATAGGAGGCAACCTTTAGCATCTCACCAGTTGTGCGAATTAAGAACAGAGGGATTTCCCCGGCAGTCCAGTGAACCAGGACTGGGCACTTTCACTTCCTCGGGCCTGGGTTCAATCCCTGGTCGGGGAACTAAATTCCCACAAGCTAACACAGTGCAGCCAAAAAAAAAAAAAAGAAAAGAAAGACCATGCAAACAAAATAACAGTAGATGTACAACCACCACAGACAGCAGATCAGCCTCCAGGGCGAGAATCTCCTGGGCAGAGAGCAGCGCTCAGCTCACTAGCTCTGGGGCCCTCGAGGCGTGTCCACGGCCGTCCTCACTCGATCCAGACACCCGGGACTCCGGCTTTCGGCCCCTCTTCCCGCCCTCGGCCTCCCCCGCCCCACCTCCCGGCCCCGCCCACCGGCCCCGCCCGACCTGACCCTTCCCTCCTCCTCAGCGGCCGGCAGCCCTTTCTCACACACCCGCCCTGGCATTAGGCACCTACAGAGGCCTCATGCGTGCGCTCCTCGGCCGCAGCTGTGCGGGCCACCTTGGAGATGATGGGCGCCACGTTGGTGGGGCCGTAGAGCTGGACCCTGGGCAGGCAGTTCTGGTAGGCCTCCACCACGCCCTGGATCCCTGTCGGGGGAGGAGTGTGAGCACAGCCCCAGCGCACCCCCACCCTGGGCCATTCACGCTCCTACCTTCACACTCATCGTCCTCGGGATTGAAATTGATGGCAAAGTCATGGGACACCTGGGCAGAAGGGACTGGTCAGCGGGTCCACCTCCTAGCACCCCACACCCCAACTACTGAGAGAGGTAGGTTTGGAGCCCCCGGGGCCACCATGTGACACATCTTTCGTGGAAGGGGGTCACTGGGGACAGAGGGCAGAAGGCCAGCCCTGGATCCAGCGGGACCCGGAGCTTCTGAGATGTATTAGCCAATAATTCCCCAACCCCCAAACTTTCTGCTTAAGCCAATCAGACACACTTTCTAAGTGGAAAATTCCAGGCAAATGTCCCCCTTCTCCTCACAGGGCCACAGGGCTGACGAGAACACTAGTGTCGGGAGGTCAAAGACAGGTCCCCACCCCCTGCCCCACTGCCTGTCACATGGCCCTGCTTCCCCTGGGGTCCTGGGACCCGGCCTTTCTCCTACCTCGTACTTGGGAGGGATCCGGGCTCCAAAGCCCAAAGCAGAGAGCCTCTTGTCGCTGGAAGAGAGGCCACCTCATCACCCAGGGCCCCCCGACCTCACTGAGGGAACGGGGGCTTTGGGGAGACACCAACAGAGCCGGGAGACCAGGTGCCCCAAACCACACGGGGGAAACTAAGGCCCAGAGCTGTGAGGAGGCCATCAGGCTCGCAGGCAGGCAGGGGCAGTGCTGACTGGATGCAGGGACCTTGGCCCCATCACTCCCTAGGCCTCGAGAGCCCTGCCCCTCCATGGCCTCAGTTTACTGCTCTGTGTCTGCGAGAAGGACTCGGATCCCCATGGGGGGGCGGCCCCATCTCCCTCTCAGGCCCTGGGGCGCTGACCTATGATCCCTGCAGAGCCCAGGAGGCCGGCGCACCTGTCATAGTCCTGGCAGATCTCTCCCACGGCCACCAGGGCCTGTAGGTACTCGTTGGGCTGGAAGGGGTTGATGTAGTGCAGGGAGCAGCTGTTCCTGGGGTCCCCATTGGAGGCCGTGAAGTCAATGGCCACCTGCAGAGGCCACGGCATCATGAGCCTGAAGCCTTCCTTCCTGGCCTGGGTGGCAGCTGCACCCCATCTGACAGCTAAGGACACCAAGGCCTGGGGAAGCCGCTTGCCCAGGGATGTGAGAAAACCCTGGGGATGTAAGCCCAAGGGTCTGACGTTGTGCTGGCCAGATCACAAGAGAAGGGACAGGCCAACCTCAAAGCTCCTGGGTCACCAGGAGCAGCCAGCACCTCTGCTGCAACACCAGCCAGGGACCCCAAGGAGCCAGAGCAGTCACAGTGGACCCTCAGCACCTCCTCCTGCAGTCAAGGGTGGGGGGAGGGGCTGGGCAGGGCCTGGGAGGAGCAAGCTCTGAGATGGGGTCCCCGTGTGTCCTCCTGCCCAGTTACCACCCTCAGGCCTTTCTGGCTGTCACTTGAAGAAGCTCGGAGGGGTCACAAGGAAGGGGTCTGCAGGCCCTGCAGAAGGGCCTTTTCTGCACACATCCACCCCAGGTGTCAAAGGGGCTCTGAGTGGGGCCAGGCGCTGACCCCCCCCATCCTCTGGGATGCAGCCCACAGGCGGTGTGGAGAGTGCAGACTCACCGTGAAGTGGATCTGGCAGCCGCCCATGACGTAGTCCAGGAACGAGTACACCCTGTAGAGCTTTCAGGGTCCCCACCCCAGGGAGACTGAGGCCGGGGCTTCAGGGCAGGGCCTCTGGGGCTGCTGGGACCTGCCCTCCCCCAGGGCAGCTGGGGCAGGCAGGAGCCTAGCAGCCTCAGTCCCTGCCTCTCGGGCCCTCAGGCTGTCTGCATGTCCATCTCCCCCCACCATCTATTCTCTTGTCTCCCCCAACCCACCTCCATGCACTGGGGGCACAAGAGCCCTTGAGTCCATCTGAGAATGGGGGAGATCCAGGGAGTGGCCTGCCACTGCCGAACTTGCTGTTCCGCAGAGCTCAGGTGGCAGCAGGACTGCCCCCCAACCTCATACCCTCGGTGGGCAGGGGAGGGTCTGCAGCCTGGGCTGAGGCTCACCTTCAGGTCTGCCAGGATGACCACCCCAGAATTCTTGTAATTGCGCTTCTTCTGCTTATACTTGGAGTTCACACAGTCCCACTGGGCCTGGGGGACAGGGACAGGCAGAGACCCCCATCCCAGAGTGCCAGCGCCCAACACCCCACCCTAAGGGGCCGGGGAGGCCTTGAAGCCCTGCCCATTGGCGTCAGTCTGTCCAACACAGGCCGGTGATCCCTACTCTGACCATCTAGTGGGCGTGGCTGTCATGCTCTGTCATTAGCCTCTCTAAAGCCATCACAAGCATTTTTGGGGAACTCAGCCCAGGGCCAGGGCCCCAGAGCATTCTGAGGGACAGGCCGGCTCACCTTGTCCTCCCCGAAGGCTTTCTGCATCTCCTCGAAGGTGGTGGAGAATTCTCCGATGAAGTCGTGCTTTCCGCGGGAGTCGTAATCCCAAACGAGGCCCTGGGGAGCCCGGGACTCAGCCCGCCTGCCCTTCTGGGGTCCCAGGCCTGGGCGTCTCCGTGGCCCTGCAGGCAGGCCGCCCTCTCCCCACCGCTCCTCTCCAGTACCCCCGCCCACCCCGCACATCTCAACTCCAAGGGGGCGTGGTCTGGCGGGGCTGGCCCCTTCCCAGCCGCCCGCCCCGCCCCTTCCCAGCCACACTCCCATTCTCCAGGCGCAAAGCCCCACCCACCTTCAGAGGCCGCGACTCCTCACAGCTGCACAGGCTGTTCAGAGACACCTTGAAAGACTGCCAGGTAGGGCTCAGGTCGTTCTTCACCACCTGTGGGCCGGGAGGGGCGGGCGGCTCAGGGGGCCCGGCCTCAGGCTCCAGGCAGGACCCTGCGAGCCCAGAGCTGCATCTCCAAACCTCGTTCCATCCAGAACCCCCTTTGTAGCTTCCTCCACATTCCGGGACCACCTGGACTCCTTTCCTTACATAGCTTTTTTTTTTTACTCAAATTAATTTATCTCAAAAGGAAACGCTTTCCCACTGCTGTCACTGGGATCTTGTTTCATGGGCAGGTAGTCACAACAAATGCAGATCCTTGACCCTAGGACACAAGGTCCACCCGCGCCTGGCTGCTCCCTGTTCAAAGGGGGATGGCGGTGTTGGGGATCAAGACCCCTACAGCCGCAACGGGCAGGGAGGTGCCAGGAGGGTCAGGGGCAGCCTCCTCTGTGCTTTCACGCTACCCCCAAGTGCTGGGCGGGGACCCCGCACCTCCGTCCGGTACACCAGTTGCTCACTCTGATCATCATTGATCCGGTATAGCTCCAGGAAGGGGTCTGACTTGCTGAAGAGGTCCTGCCAGAGGAGCAAAGGATGAGCTTGGCAAGCCGGGTTGGGGGCCAGGCTCTGCCACTCTCCGGGTGTGAGGGCCCAGCCCTCCTTGAGAGCATCTCCACCCCCTACACCCACTCGAGCTTCCCTAGCTCCCCAGCACTTCCAGCCCAGAGCCTGGCTCCCACCAGTTCCTCCACTGTCTGCCCTGGGACCCCCCAGAGCCCCTGAGCGTTGCCACAGGAAGCTGTGAGGATGAACTGAGGGCAGTGACACAACAGGACCCTGACGGCAGCACAGCCGCCCTGGCTCCAGTGCGTTCCACTCTGCGGCCACCTGTCTCCTCGTGGACACCCCCTGACAGAAGGGAGAGCTGGGCTCCAGGGGAGCACCCCACACCTTGTCGTCCAGTTTCCTGGCCCTGAAGGAGAGCTCCACGTAGCCGTTGTTCCCGGAAATGTCCTCGGCTATCACCTGGGCGGAGGGGGCAAGAGGGTCCTGACCCCTGGAGGGTCTTCAGCTGGCCCACTCCAACCCTTCTCCGCCCTGCCGCCCAGTCTCCCAGTCTATGGGAGGTGCCTAGACACCAGGCAGCCTGGGCCTCGTCCCCCAACAGCCTCAATGACGAAGGGGCGGGGCCTGAAGGGGCGGGGCCGGTGGAAGGCGGGGCCTCACCGTGATGGTGGACTTGCCCGCGTTCCTGCCGAACTTCAGCAACAGTGCCCGGGTCACCTTCTTCTGGGCCACTATCTGGAAGTCAGAGGGTTAGGGAGGGTCCGCACCTGCTCCGAGGACTCTAACCCCACCCGAGGTCTCCCAGTCTCCTTCCCAATGCCCCCAATCACCCTTGGTGGCCTGGCTCCCCAAACCCACCACCCAGGTGAGGAAGTGGAGATTCAGGCAGAGGTCGAGGACTTACTCAAGGGCCACCACTGGGATTTGAAGCCAGGGTCCTAACCTTTGGCCGGCCCTGCAGACCTGGTGGCACTGGGAGGCCTTCCCATAATCCAGTTTACGTGTATATCCAGACATACATGTCCATACATGTGTCCATGGATCTGCACCCATAGGTGCACACATGTTTGCACATGGATGTCCGTGCTTGTGTGTCCCTGCATGTGAGGGAAGTGGGAGGCCAGCACTGGGTGGACCCTGCTGAAATCTCAGTCCTCTTATCTGACAGAGGCTCAACCCCACCGTCTCTGCCCCAGGCAGCAATAGAGATTAGTCACATGGCCTTCATGCTGGGGAAAAGAAGTCGGACACAAATGGGAACATACTGTGTGATTCACGGACGCAGTGTTCTAGAACAGACAAAACTATAGGGGGAGGGGGTTGAGAGGAGCAGGGGGGCATGCTGGGTGACAAAGATGTGCTATGTGATCTGGGTGGTGGTCAGGTGTGTACAACTGTCTAAGCCCATCAATCCCAACCCTAGAGGTCTACACATATTACTGTATGTAAATTATACCTCATTAAAAAGCCCTCAGAGTACTCATGAGAATCGAATGTGTGACACATGGAGTGTTCTGCCCAGAGCCTGCGCTGAGCAGTTTGGCTGGAGGCAAGACCTTTTGTTTCACTGACAATCATAGAGCTAATGGGAATGACTTCACTGGAGGATGCAGGGTCCCTTAGACCAGTCACTGCCATGGAGACAGGCAAGGGAAGGGCTCCCTTATGTCGTGGAAGTGAAGAAGCAAGCTGCAGAGCAGTGTATGTCATTTGTGTTTTTAAAAGTGTATATATAGAGAAAAAACTATATGTCCCTTTGCTCTGATAAGACTACCTCTCTCCAGAAGGATGTAACGAACCTGGGGCAGGGCAGGAGGGAGACACCCAGAGCATGCCTGTTATACTTTCTGAATTTAGATCCATATGACTATATTACCCAGTTCCAAATTACATTTTTTAAATTAACTAAAAGACAGTTTTTTAGAAGGAGCTAGGAGTCAGACAGAACACCTGGTACACAGTTGGTGCATAATCTTGCTGTCCTCAGACCACCACTGCACCTGCTGAGGTGCCCATGCTGCCCTTTTCCTCTGAGAGCATGGGGACGGGGCACCCACCTGCCCCAAAGTGCATTCCATGCCCCCCAGGAAGTCATCCTCTTGGCAGCTCAGGCTGCTGGGCCCATGGGTGTCGTAAACCTCAAAGCGCAGCTTCTGCACCTCCTCAAAGTAGTAGTCAAGCGTGAAGACCTTGGAGAAGACCGGGTGCAGGCTGCTCCGGACCACCTCGGTTCTGCCCACCTGCAAGCGGCCCTGGGTGAGCAGAGCCCTGGAGGAGGGGGACAAGATTCTACCGGGGTGCTGCCCGGAGACCCCGTGCCTCTGCTGTAGCCTCCGGAGTCCCCTGTCTCATCCACCTGCCCTTGGGTGGTCCTGGAGGACTTGCATTCAGGTTGTGCTGTGGGAAGACCCATTTTCTGCTTCGAGGCTTCCGGTTGTCCCCTGGGGGGTCATTCCCCAGAACCCTGGGCACCTCCCTCCCTGAGATAAAGGCGCAGTTCTCTAGCCCCTACAGGCCACAGCTTCTCGTCTTGTGCCCCCACAGCCTCCTCCATCCCCACACCACAGATGGGGAAGCAGGCTCAGAGAAGGGAAGGGGTGTCCAAGGGCACCCCAAGTCAGGGACAGAGCTGGATTGGAACCTGGCTGGGCAAACCTTAAAGCAGAGATATTTTTCCAGCACCCAGATGGGCAGGCAGGGAGACTCCAGAGTCTGGGGGGGGGGGGGGCGGGCAGGGTTTGCAGAGATAACCCCTTGGTTCAGCTCTCTCCTCCAACTTGGGCCCCAACCCATCAAAGTGCAATCTGGGCTGGGGAGGTAGGTTTCTGTGCCCTGCTCCACAGTCGCACAAACTCCCACACCCAAGATGAGGGTGTTTATGTGCTTTCTCAAAGGACATATGCCCCCACGGAGCGCTGAGGCCAAGCAATGAAGGCTAATGGGGGCTTGGGCCCCTCCAGCAGATCCTTTGCCCCCGAAGTCGATGACTGGAGGGTTTCTCAGGCCAGGAGGCTGGTGGTCCAGAGATGACAAAAAACAGCACAAGGTCATAGCCAGGGAGCAGTGCGGTCCAGGGAGCTGGCGCAGCGCATCTCTAGGACTATGCGACCCTCAGCGGCTGTACCTCAGACGTGCCCCTAACATCCTCCCTACCTCCGCCCGAGCTGTATGCGGCCATCGAGGCTAGGGGCGCGCTTGCGCGGAGAGACCCGTCGCAGGGGGAGCGCTGGAGGCTGGGGAGCACTCGGGTTCGAGTTCCGGCCCCCCAGCTCTCCGGGGGCTCAATGCCCGACTTCGCCTATTTGCCCCCGACTTCGTGCCCTTTCGAGGTGAGGCCACGCGTCTCACGTGAGATGGTGGCGGAAAAAGCGCTTCGTGGGGCGCAGAGCAGTCTGAGCAGTCCCGCGGCCCGCCCTCCGGGAGCGCAGGTCTGGGGTGAAGAGCCCGCCCCCACGCAGGCCCCCGGCCGCTCCCGGGACCGGAGGGAAGCCCGCGTCGCCGAGAGACGGGACGCGCCCAGAGCCAGGTCCACGAGACTTGCGAACCGTCCGCTGCTGCCCCGACCCCGGCCGCACGCGCCGCGCTCGCCAGGCCACCCCGCGGCCGCTCGGTACCGGCTCGACTCTTCCCGAACTCGAGAGCCAGGCGCCAGCCTGGGAGCCCTCCGGGCGGGGCGTCCCGGTCTCGGAGATGGAGTCCTGGCTCCCGGAGCGCCCGGCTAGCCTCCTGTGGGACCCGCGGTGCGCTGTCTCCGCCCTTCGAATGCGGACCCGGCGGAGGACTGGTGCTCCCGGCTGCCCCGCGGGCCCGAGGTGGACCCGTGACCTCGGTCCAAGCCCTGTGTCCCCCACTCCCCTCTGCGCCCCCCAGGAGAGAGAGCCCCAGCGGCACCCTGAAGCCTGGGCGTTTCACTTTAGCCCCGGAGCCCCCACCCGGACCCGGGTCGCACCCTCCACTCCAGGGCTGCCTCCCTCTACGTGGAGCCCCTCTCGTGGCTCCGCCTCCAATCCAGCCCCTACACTTCAACCCCACAGCTCCAGGGCACCCATCTCTAGACCAGGTAACCCCACCGTGACCCTGCTCTGCACCCCACTAGCCTCGCACATCCATCTCGGCTTCCGCGTCCGCAGCTCCAGGCCCCCACCCCACGCCTGCCCGCGCCCCTACCTGCACCCACTGGCCCTGCGATTGCAGCAGCAGCACCACGCTCGGGTCGGACTTGGTGAGCGGGTCGCGGTCCAGCAGGTGCCGGCAGCTCAGCCGCAGCTCCACCTTCGAGGCGCAGGGCGCCGGCACCACCCCGGGGGCCGCCGCCGCCCGGCGCTCCGAGCCCGCGCTCATGCTCCCGGCTCCCGCGCTCCGGGACCTGGTTGGGCCCACCGAGGGGCGGCTGTCCGCCAGTCGGCGCCGCGGCCGCGCGGGGAAATGATGGCCTGGCCAGGCGTGGCCGCGCTTCTCTCCCCGCACGCCAGCCCGGCGCGGGCACACGTGGCTCCCGCAGCAGCCACGGCACGGGAACTGCAGGAGGGGGTGTCAGAGAGGGTGGGACAGAGGAGGGGGCAGTGGAGGGGCGGGGCCTAGGCGGGGCCGGGCTGAGAGGGGGCACTGGAGCCTGGGGGGAGGAGTGGGCGCTGAGCGGTGGCCTTAGCCCGCCCTTCGTCCCCATCCCCCTCCGTCCCCATCCCCCTTCGAGGATACTGGCGTTTCGACGGGTTCAAATCCCCAGGGCGAGAGGTTTGAGGTCCAAAACGGGTGGGCCCTCCCAGGATGACCAGAACCCCACGGGGCCCCCTGCTTGGAGACCTGCTCAGGTCAGGAGGCTCTCTGCTGGCCTGAGCATGAGCCCCAGGTCCCTGCAGGCTGCCCCCTGGGAAGCAAGGGCCCAGTAGAGGCCCAGTTTAGCACCAGATCCACACCTCCCCCCATCCCTCAGACCCCAACCCCAGGCCTTGCTGCATTTAATGAGGCATCACTTCAGTCAGCAAGCATGTGCTGGGCACCCTCTGTGCCGGGCGCCTTAAGGCTGGGACTTGATGCAGGAACAACTGGTCTGCCTTCCCAGAGCCTGTTGTCCTGGAGCCAGTACAACCCCTGCTGTCCTGGGGGTGTCTACATTGAGGGTCAGGGTCTGGGGTCCTTCCACATCTGCCTGCTGCATTCGAATCAGAACAGGCCTGGGCTCCTTGGGAGGGGCCTCTGTCATCCTGAGCTTCACCCCACCTTGGACCACCCTGTGCTTGCAGCGAAGCTGTGTGGAAGAGGAGGTGTTTGGTGGAGGCAGAAGCCACCTCTCAGTCCATTTTCTTTGCCAGTTTCTGCCTAAAAATAGGGCACAGACCTAGCCAAAAGCCATGGTGGGAGACAGGAAGAGGGTTTAAGGTGAAAGAGGACCCAAGGGCCAGAGGAACAGAAACCAGGTCTTGGGCACACTGGGCTGTTGTGAGCTTGGGCTGAGCCTTGGTCACCAGGACTCCAAAAGATCCTGGGGTCGGAAGCCCCACCAACAACAGGACAAAGATGCTGCCCAGGCGGAGGTGGAAAGTGGAAGGTTGCACCCCCGGCTCAGAGGAGGGTTTTCCACAGGTGCGATGCAGAGGACAGCATCCTTGGCAGTGGGATACAGGCTCACACCCCAGGGGTTCCTGCAAGGCAAAGACCTTGTGTCCAATTTGCAAGAAAGGGGAATTCTTTGCAGGCCAATCTGGTGCCTCTTTCTGCTGCCTCAAGCCTCCATGTCCCCCCTCCTAGAAGCTGGCCCAGGTCCCAACAGCTTCAGAAACCAGCCGTTGGGAGAGCTGGCTTCTCTCTGTAGACAGTTACCGGCCTGGAGCCACTCTGGGCCTTCCAACTCCTGTATCTTTCCTGGCCTGGCTTCCCAGAGTCCATGTTTGTTGCTCATCAGCTGTGCTCTTGGGCTCATGGGGGCTCACTGGCTTGCAGAGGCCCTGGTTCCACTTGCACCCTGGCCAAGGCTTCTGGCCTCTCTGAGTTTTATGTGATTAAGAATGCAAAACCCCAGAAGGGTGGAGGCTCAGATGGGCACCCAGCTCCACACTGGCATGCCCAGAGGCTCAGGGTCAGCCTTGGGAACTTCACTGGGACCTCTCCCCTGCCAGCCCCGAGGACAGCTCTTTCCAATGCATGTGTTCATGCTAACTGTGATGTGGTAGCAACTGACCCACTGTAGCCCCGTTTCACAGACGAGGAGGGGCTGCCCAGCCCACCAATAGAATAGAGCTTACACCCAGCCACAGTTCAACTCTTAACCATCACACACAGCCCCACAGTAACTTCGTATTACACCCTTGGGGGAGAGGGAAAAGAGAATTCAGAGTTTGGGGATTCAAGTCTCTGAGGTCCAGAGATTTTAGTGGACCCACTGGGGTCTCCGCTTCCTTGGTGGCTCAGTGCTAAAGAATCCACCTGCCAAGCAGGAGACATGGGTTCAATCCCTGAGTTGGGAAGATCCTCTGGAGAAGGAAATGGCAACCCACTCCAGTATTCTTGCCTGGAAAATCCCATGGACAGAAAAGCCTAGTGGTCTACAGTCCATGGGGTTGCAAAAAGAGTCGAAAATGACTTAGCAATAAACAACAACTGGGATCTCCACCACAGCCTCACAGCAACAGGCTCCTCCCTGCCTTGCAGGGTGACCCTGGGCTCAGCTCCGGAGCTGACCTGGAGAGGAGGCTGGCAGGGCAGCTCCATGCAGCACTAGTAGAGAGATTCTCCAGAGCTCAAGAGAGGCTGCTGGGCTGCAGGATCCACCTGCCCTTCCTCGCCCAGCAGCCCACAAAGGCCTCAGGGACAGGGGAGGGCCCAGAAGGTGGGGGGACGAGAGCTCAGGCTGCCAGACGCAGGAAGTGAGATCCCCACCTTCATATATTCTGTTGTTACTGCTGTACAGGAAATAATAACACATGTTCCTTGTTGAACAGTTAAAAAATGTAGATAAGCAATTAAAAAAAAAAAGGAAATTCTAGCACCCAGGCAGAAACACTGTTAACACTTTGATGTTTATCCCTCCAGCTTTCTTTCCACGCAAATCTGTTTGTATTAGTTCTTACAAGCTGCTTCCCACCCTTAGGGCCCTTCCTGCTTGTGGCTCCTCAGACTGCAGGCATGGGGATTCTCTGCCCCACCTGACAGCTGAGTTCCTGGGCCTAGCACTGTGCCTGGCACACAGTAGGTACTCAGTAAATGTTCAAAGAGGTATTCAATAAATGTTCCTGTGTGGTTTTTTAGTAACTGCTTTTCTTTACATCATAACACCGTCTTTCATGCCATCGACTGTGCTACCCCAAAACTTGTATGTTGAAATCCTGACCCCCAATGTGGTGGCATTAGGAGGTGGGTCATGGGAGGTGCTTAGGTCACATGTGTGGAGCCCCACTGCCTTTGTAACTGGGACCCTAGAGCACTCCCTCACCCCTCTGTCATGTGTGAACCAGACACCAAATCTGCTGGCACCTTGATTGATCTTGGAGTCAGCTTCCAGAGCTGTGAGAACTCAGTATCTGGTGTTTATAAGCCCCCTGCCCACCCCACCCCCACCCACCCCCTGTCCCCAGTCTACGGTGTTTCTGTTCTGGCAGCCTGAAGGGACATTCTATCTCTATATGCTGAGGCCGACAGCAGGGGGCTGGGGCACTGCAACCCCTGGGGCAAGTCTGGAAGCCACTGAATTGCAACTAGAGTTTTACTGGAGCATGGGCATCCTGTGTGTTCACGGATGGTCTGAAGCCGGCTTCACCCTGAAAGAGCAGAGGGATACTCTGTGGCCTGGAAAGCCTGAAATGCTCACCATCTGGTCCTTTAGGAAATGGCCTGCTGCATGCATCTCCCTACCCATCCACCCTGGGTGCTCAGAGGGGGCATCTGAGGGGGCCAGCAGGGTAGAAGCGACCCTTTCTCATGTATTTAACTAACCCCATGCTGAAGCTGAAGCTCCAATAGTTTGGCCACCTGATGCAAAGAGCTGACTCATTGGAAGACTTTGATGCTAGGAAAGATTGAGGGCAGCAGAAGGGGGCGACAGAGGACAAGATGGTTGGATAGCATCACCAAGTCAATGGACATGAGTTTGTGCAAACTCCAGGAGATAGTGAAGGACTGGGAAGCCTGGTGTACTGCAGTCCAGGGGGTTGCAAAGAGTTGGACACGACTTAGCAACTGAACAATAACAATCTTTATCTCTTTAAATGCTTTCACATCACCAATTTTTGGAGCAACAATAAAGCATCCTTGTTTTAGACAACTTGCTTCTCAAGCCACAGAGCCCTGCTTGCACTGGCTCCCCACCACTGGCCAGCTCCTACTCACCCTTTGAAGCCTGGCTGAACAAGCTCCACCCCCAGCACCAGCTCTGAGCTTCTGGGAATTCACCCCCTCAGCATCAGATAGGTTGCCTCTAGCCAAGTGCCAGAAAACCCAGCGCCTTGGGAGGGGAGCAGAGCTATGTCCAGGCTGTGTGCAAGTGACGCATTGCTCAGGCGAGGCCATCACCACACCCTCCACCTTGTCCTCCCCAGGGCCCAGTGGGCCTGTTCTGGAGGCTCTGCAAGGCACGCTGAGACTGTCAAATTTGCAAGAACGGGAGGTGGTGGGGCTAACAAGGCTTTCACAAGCTTACACCCATGGGCTGGGTGCTTCTTTGACTAACCTAGAAAGGTCACTTTATCTCAGAACCCCTGCTGTCAGAACTGGACTGTTTTCCTACAGGATTTGGCATTTCTCTTGTTGTTCAGTTGCTCAGTCATGTCTGACTACTTACCACCCCACGGACTGAAGCATGACAGGCTTCCCTGTCCTTCACCATCTCCTGGAGCTTGCTCACTCATGTCCATTGTCTTGGTGATGCCATCCAACCATCTTGTCCTCTGTCGTTTCCCTTCTCCTGCCTTCAAGCTTTCCCAGCATCAGGGTCAGCTCTTTGCATTAGGTGGCCAAGTATTGGAGGTTCAGCATCAGTCCTTCCAATGAATATTCAGGATAGATTTCCTTTAGGATTGACTAGTTGGATCTCCTTGCAGTCCAAGGGACTCTCAAGAATTCTCCAGCACCAGTTCAAAAGCATCAATTCTTTGGCGCTCAACCTTCTTTATGGTCCAACTCCCACATCCATACATGACTACTGGAAAAACCATCGCTTTGACTCTGCAGCATTCTCTTACTTATTAATGGCTGCACCAAGTCTTACCTGTCACACATGGGATCTGTAGTTGCAGCATGTGGCAGAGTTCCCTAACCAGGGATGGACCCCAAGCCTCTTGCATTGGGAGCGTGGAGTCTTAGCCACTGGACCACAGGGAAGTCTTTCACTTTTAAAAATCAGACAAGTG